TTCCCTCGTCGTTGGAGTCCGACCTGCTCCCTCGTCCCCTCTTACTTTCGTGCATAGTTGAGATCCCTAACTGATTTTAGTGGTTTCCCTTTGACTTTTTGACGTCTTACAAGGGCCGACAGCCATTCAAATACTTCTGTAACCGCGCGCAGGGTCTGTTACCGCCATAACTAACCTTGGATAACTTTCTGGAGCTTTGGCTCACCTCCTATCTTCATTCTCTTGTTGTCCTTTCTATGTCAACCTGCCTTTATTTCATCAACTTCTGTACAACTAATTGCGAGGCGATCCAGGTTGTAGAAACATGTCGAACATTAGGTCCGATTACATTTTGACTACATTTAAAATTTGACAACGATAAAAGTTGTTTAACCCAGCAAACAGGAGAACAGCACTTTTCATACAAATCAAATACATACAGTTAACGATCGAATGAAACATAAAGTTTAAATGAAAAGTTTTGAAGCTTGGGCAAAGTTCCTGACTTATAAGATTCACGGAACCGCGAGACGAATACTCGGAGTCGCGAGGGTTTGCATTCTGGCACGTATAGCACTTTTCAAGATGGGTATTTGATAGGATGTGGACACGTAGGTTATGTATACGCAGCGACTCGGTAGATTAGGATGATATAATTACAGCATTAACATAAGTCACCGGGCAGGCACGGCCGCGGAATAGTAATCGTGTCGAACACGTGTGCGCGTCATCGCATCGTTTCGTTTTACTGTGCTCCCCGGTTCCACGGGGACATAGTCGCATCCACGGGTTCACGTGCATCTTCGTCCGGGGGTATACCCTTTTCCTAAGTACCGAGATATTTATCGTGACGCTCCACGAATAACGCATGGCACTGTCCTTAATCGTTTCGAACACTGTCGTGGATCGTTATTTAAATGGACTTACATCGGATATAATTGTAGATATACAACGCTTTGATAAAAAAGTGATCGAATCAAAGGAATGAGAACGCTACGACTGGTAAGACTGTCGACTGTGCAGGTATAATGACTCATTTAAAGTAAAACTGACGTTCGATTGCCGCGTGGCGATTTCCAAATTGCCGTGAAATTCGCGATTCAACCGTGTTCCAGGGGCACAAAGAAAAATCCGTTCCGTAACAAGTAACAAGCCGAAAAAAGGAAGTAGCGAAAGTAAAAAGAAGAGGAAGGAGATGAAACAGAAAAAGGGGGAAGGAAGAGCATGAAATCGGCAGCCTGACCGGGCACCAACGCAGCGTTTGGAAAGTTGGTGAACTGATGAAGCAGTCAGGCGATCATAAAAGGTAGGCAAGTTGAGCGTTGGCTGATGAAGAAATAAAAGTGTACCCTGCGTCTCGCCCCGCTCGCCTCTGTCCCCGGCCCAACCGGTCGGAAGGTACTACAGAGAGCACCGAGATAGGGTTGCGGAGGCAGGCAGATTTCGCTCCCTCTCTCTTTTTCTCTCCCTTTCTGGGTTTATCCGAGTCACCGATCGCGTAGATTCCGAGAAGCAGCCGAAACAATATCATAACTCGTCGGCCCCGGGAACCCATGGCCGTAAATAGAAATGCCTGATACCGCGAGAGAAAAAGAGTAAGACAGAGAGAGTCGTTGGGCTGGCCGACTGCTTCGTATTCCTCCCGCGCAAACGGGGCTCCATGATAATTATGATGCGTCTTGGAGTCCCGCGCCGATCGGTTTTTGATGTGCCTGCGCCGACGAAACGGTCGCCGCGCCGCGCCGCACCGTTACCGGTATACCGGTTCGACTTTATTCGTGATCGAAATTTCTGATTGATCTTTGCGAACCCGACGTTGCCCCGCGGTTTATAAAATGCATGTGGCTCGTGTCCTTTCGTATGCTAAATTATTCCACCGGTAGTACAGAGTTTTATTGTTATTGTTAGCAATACATGCGAACGAAATTATTTATATAGTTAACATTATTGTAGATAGTTAGAGATTGGAGAGAATAACAACGTCAATCCACTAAAATGCGAACGTACCGAATTTGATTTCAATCGTTACGCTTACAGCTTGATCTAATAACATCAACCATTGTGAGGATAAAGTTATTCAAAGGAAACTGAATAGTTCTGATGATGCTTTCATAGATTCTCGCTCCTTTGACGATTTTATCCATTCTTTATGGTCCGAATCTTTCGACATTCGCCACGGACAGCTCCGGTTGGCTAGCCTCGGCTTTCGGGGGCGAAGAATAGACACTAGAACTACGGGTTGCGCTCGCTTAATCCGCGAATCGAAGCTTTCATGCATAATTCATGGCTGCGCCTTCGTTCTCCCCGCTCTGCCACGCGGCGTCTTTTGAATCGGAAACTTTCGGAATTCCCTCCCGACGGGAAATTTATCGCGCTTACGGCATTTACGTCGTCGAGAAAACTCCGCGTTTTACACCTTCGTCGCCGCGGCCCCGAGAAAAGGAAACATGCAGCAACGTTGTATGAGATCCATTTTTCCATTTCCTTCATCCCTCTTTTGCTTTAATACGTTGCGAGAGACATATTTCTGGTACTATCCTTAAAGTAGAGCGTGATTCTATCATCCGACGTAACTTTCGTTCTACTCGTAGTATAAACATCAATGAGGAAAAATCAGTTTCGCATTCACACCGAAGAATATAAAAAATGATTGGTTAATATAACCATTTTTGTAATTGGCTGTTTTAAAGGTGAGAATGAAATGCAATTTAACGTATAAATCCCGGGCTTAAAGTATGCCAGGTAGCGAATGGTGCACGATAGCATTCTTTGCCTAAACGGCTATAAATCCTCGAATAATACAGGGCAAGGAAGGATGGAGGGACAAGATTGTAATTAATATTTCATAATTTATAAGACGACGGTATCAAATAAATGTGAACGTCGAGTTAACCGTGGAAATCTGTCTGAATGAGACTAGCACTGTGACTGATTCGCTGATACAATTGACGCATTCGGAGACATGCGGGTGTATAAGACCGTCTCCCTGACTCCGGTGCCAATTTCAATTGTCCATTGAAGAGATTGATACGGGCGATTCGGATAGTCCGGTATCAGTGTCATTCAACGACGGATGCACGTCTCCCATAAATGCAGAAAGCCGCGCGTTCCTGTTCCGCTGGTCGAGACCTGGGCAGAAGTTTATGGACACGTTTTTGGTGGCTGCTTTCGGGGAATGATGATTTGGGTAATTTTCGTTGGACGGTAGATTTCGGGGACCGATTAAGCGGAACGACTGATGAAGAGGACTTGGAAATCCAGCTCTCGGGTTGAAAGGTACTGCGTACTTAATAAAGATGATGAGAGTCGCGAGAGCCTTTGTGAAAGCTACTCGAAGAAGCCTAGTTCTTTTTCGTGGAACAAAGTCGTACACTCGGAACGATGTTGGTAAATAAAGTCGGCGATAATCTGGCCAATTATCTGATCCGAATCTGGCGACGAAGTAATTTTTATTAGAGATTCTCTCGTAATAAGTGCCCGCTCTTTTTACACGTGCTCGTGATCTTATTTTTTTATCGTACAATTTAATCTACGGGCGAATGATACGCTAGAATCAATTAGATTCACGTGCACGAGGCAATTTTAAGTTCATTAGAAAGTTTTGACTGTAAACGTCCACGAGAACGAGAAACTCTAACGGCCGTCAAGCAAGCATTCCCATTGTCAAAGTAAGCCTCTTCCCGAGCGTGGCTAATGGATTTATGGTCGCAAAATTCGCCGACCAGACATGTCTCGCCTTCGTACAATTTCGGAGACGATATTAGCATTAGAGAGACGAGTGCAGCCGAGACCTGTGGGCAAGGTACGGCTCAGGTAGATCATCCTACGCGTTGCTCCAACAACGACAAACCACACCCGCCTTTGGACAATGGGTGACGCACTGCACCGTACCCCGCTCACCTCCCTTTTTCTTGAATTATGGCTTCGGCTGCTCTTTCCGTGCCTTCTTTAACTATCGTTCGACGACAATCCCTACCGATTGGAAATCTCTGTGATACGTGCCTTCGCGATGGATCACCTGCGAACCAGATAAACCGCGAGAAGATCTATCGACGAGTTTGTTGGAAAGAATCTGGTGGAATGCGCTTCTCCCAATGGAGAACTGTTTATCGGTAGAGATCGATTTCAGGAATCCTTCGAATTCGTTTATCTCTCTCCAGATTTCTACTTTTACTTCTTCGTTTTAAATGGGTAAACATACCTTTATCATACAGTGTTGAAATAAGTGGTGTTAGAATTTCGTATTTGTATGATAAAATTCTGTTGGATTAAAAGAACCTAATTATAAACGCAATACAGGAATAATATTTAGTACAAATGAAAACGTTTTCAATCATATGCATACATTTATTGATACGTTCTCTGCTGGATGCAAATGAAGACGTACATATTAATGATTTTTTAATTAATCGTCAGGTAAAGTTATAGTGAATACCGTGTGGCATGACGAATGTTTTTCTACAGCCTACGAAATAGTGATAAATTAATACGTTGATAATCGCACTGCGGCTTCTGCTAATTGCGCAATTACTCTGGCAGTGATATAGGATCACCGCCACTTTCCGCTTATCGAAATGTCGTCACGTACAACTTATAGATTATTTTGCATTGCCCGAGATTAATGAAGTCTCGTTGCCATTAATTACCGAACACATTTTTGCTTGGGTCCTCTTATAACATAGCCGCTGGAGTCCACCGTGTGTCTTACCACAGCTTGACATTCTAGATTTTTCCAAAAAAATATTTCATCATTTTCCCCATTCACTGCAAACAGTTATATGAAAAGAAATATAAATCTACAGTAATTCTTATTGTAATAAAGATTATTGATAAAATGAACAACGCGTATTGAAACGACAGCTGTTGTGATAGCTAAATAGTCTATAAAACACAATCTGAGAAAAATAAGTTGAAGAAGGCAGTTTCCAATCAAAAGCGCAGAGGATACCGAGGAGAGGGAAGCGGTAGCTTGATTACGGTAGAAAAACAATTTAGCATCAGCATCCAGTAGTGCGCGGCCCATCAAGCCATCACCGTCACGTCGACAAGCGACTGTCCGCGATGATCTGCACAATAAGTCAATCAGCGGGTCGATCAGAAGTAGACAGACCACCAACCGTGCGACGTGAAACTCCTGACAAATGATTCTGCCGATACGAGAGAGGCTCAGAAACGAATCCGAGTGACGTCTTCATACTCGTCCTCGCGCCACGGATTCTCGCAGTGGCCGTAGAAACCATGGAGCACGTCCGTCACACAAATCGCCCAACCAGCCTTCCAGGATGTCACCGATTTATTTTACGAGATGGCCCCGTCATCCTGGCCCGCGCCACACCGCGCCGCGCCGCATCCTCTCTGTTCACGCTTGTACCGAGTCCTTACGCGATGCGACCCACGGACGGACGTCCTGACGTACACACGGACGCATATCGATGCTTTATTGGGAACCATTACCTTTCTACGATCGCTATAAGTCCTGCGGTGGAACGCGGCTACGGATATCGATACAGGTTTTCGGCCCCCGAGCCCCGGGGACAAAGTGGGAAAAAAAAGGAAAGAAAATCATAAGGCATCGCAATCACGTTCTCCGTTCTCGGGAGATCGAACGCGGAGATACACGACGAAGATTTCGAGCAGGCTTCCTTGCCTCTTCGATGATACTTTCTCGTTCTCCGTCGTATCTCTTTATTTATTTTCTTCTTTGTATTAAGCAAGCTCGGATGATTATCTGTTCGTAGTTTTATTTGAAATTGGATTACCCGTGTCGTGTAGGTATTGGAATATACCTGGAATTTGTCTTGTAAATGGAATGTACAATATGTTATTAAAATCATATTATGCTTATTTCGAAATTAAACATTTGATTTTATTTTATGGCATAATTGTAATTGTTCATATGATTTCTAAAAAATATCTTCGCAGTCGTAATTGTCCGACGATCATTATAAGAAACTTAATCGACGCTTGAGTATACCAGGACACTTACTGTCTAATTGCATTGTAGCCAACAGGGAAATCAGGTAGCCCGTCCGAATCAATAAACGTCCTGTGACAATGGAGGCAAGAATGCCGAGAAAGTGGTCAGGATTTTGGGACAAAACGGTCGGATCAGCGAGCAATTTCCTAGTAGCCCCTGCCGGAAGACGGTTCCCGGCGCAACCCCTAATTACCAGAAGCAATTAGAAAATTGCGTCAGGCCGGGCCAAGGTGCGATTCATCATCATCCCTTTCGAACAACCGACCCGTCCGCGTCCGCCTGTTCGTTCTCTCTGCGTGTGTTCCCCATCCCCAGATTGCTCTGGATTTCAACACAAATTTACCTGGCCTGAGAATAAACTGGAGATATCGGCTTGGAAATTGCGAAAGTAGCGAACGGAAAGGTTTCCCAAGGTACCACGGGGGTGTAACTTTCGCCTAGTAAGAAAAATTGCCGGACATATTTCAGCCGTAGTTCCCGGCGGGGCTCCTGACTCTCGATGGCTAGGGCGATATTCGTCCGGTCTTCGAGAAATAGATCGACGATCGGAACCATTATTCAGGGAGGCGACCGGCCGAAAATCGGAGGACGGATTATGGCCGGTGGTTCTCGGGGTAAATTGGACCGCATTAGATGCACATCGGGATTAATGAGGTCTATTATTGAGACAGGAAACAGATTGCTGTCCGAATAAAAATATACGATGAATCTTGACTGAAGCTTGAGGGAAAAAACTGAAGTTACGGAAGAAAGATGTCTTCTGTATCGCATCATTTTATTATCCAACATCCTACACTGTAAGCTACCTCCAATTAAATTTATTAATAAAGAAGTCGAGTTAAAACAAACTGAAGATGATTAAACGTTTGATCGCTGAGGAATTTATTTAATTTTTAATTCGCGATGACAATAATTTAGAAGACGGAATCGAGCATGACCATTTTCCAGCACGTTCCCAACTCGGTCCATTATTTATCAAGTTTTGATGTATTCCTATTTATTATAATTTATGCACGATCGAGCGCGTCTGAACTGGCTAAGAATACCGGTTTCTATTAGCAAGATTTAAATCACGATGTCTAGCGCTGCAATTTATCTCATCCACGATTTCTCTTCGTTCGAATAGCACATCTAAAGACAACTTTTATTGCTTTCTTAACAGCTCCTTTCATTTTCGTTTATTTTCAAATAATTCTGATACATCTATAAGGTTACCTTCAGTCTGAATTCAGTTCCAGCTTTAATTCTCTTTAAGACGAAATACGTGTCCCGTTGATAATTATTTCATGACAATAATCATATCGAATCGCGCTTCTTAATTTGGAATTCTGTACGAAACTCTATTTAGGCAAGTTATTTTAAGCGCTTTAATAGCTACCATTACGAAATGCACACTTTAGAAACGCTTCAGTGGTACTCGCTAAACAGTACATCCCATCATTGCGAGTTACGCATTGTTACTTTTACTGCCCACACAAAATTTTTTGCACCGACATCGTTACTCGTGGCTGTGAATACCGTCACGTCGATTTTCAATCCCATCCAGACTGGAGCAGCGTGGCGCGACGCGGAGCGACACGGCAGTGGCATCTCAGCTGCAAGAAAAATTGATACGTGGGCCTCTAATGGCCCAACAAAAACGGACCCAACAGAGACGCGACAACAAAAGCGTATGCATATTATGAACGGATGGACGAGGTGCAGGAGGAACGGATGCCAGAAATATATTGCCTCGGTGCACCCACTCTCTTTCTACGAGTTGCACACGTGGTCCAGACACGAGGAGGGAAGGCCACGGGGAGTGCAGAAAAAGCAGGGAGGAGGTGTAGAAGTGCGGAGAAAGAAACGGAGACAAGAAAAAAGAGAAAAAAAAACGCGCGACGAAGGAAAACAACGGAGACAGAAAGTAGCAGAAAAAGGGAGGAGAACCGAAGAAGAGGACAAGGAAGCAAAGATAGAAAAAGAAGAACAAATTTGCGAAGCTCGCGCATCCCTCCTTTTATCTGGCTTTGTGACGAGGAGCAGGCGAGGCCCTCACGACAGAAAATTAGTAAAATCCGGCGGGTAGCGCGTGGAACTGTCTGTCCCGGTGCCCGGAGTCGGATTTATAAGGAGCGAAGCCACGATTTATGCTGGGGCCTTGGTTATTTATCGATTTCGATGGTGCACGCGATATCATTGCACGGATATCGATACGTTCTTGCCTCGAACTCTGGGTTTGGGTTGACTCCTACTCGTCCTTCTTCGTCTTTCTTCTTCCACTTTCGCTGTTCCTCTTTCACTTTAGTTTTCCGAACTTTATGAATAAAATGGAATTTATAATTGGAGTACTTCATTGCTTATTGACAATGTACATATAATTCATATTCTAATATATAAGATGTACCGCGCATTTGTAGAAGATTATGATTCAGTATTATACGAGATTCAATAAGTTGTCTGTCGCATTCTTGACTTCGTTCGAACTTCGAATTTATTTTGACCCGTGAAATACATTCGAAGACTCAGCGGGAGCTCGTGCCGAGGAAGAGCGGAAGGTAGCAGGTAGGTAATAAGAACGGAGGAAGGGAATAAGTTTTCAGGTAATCTTTCTGCTTATGCGTTTTAAGATATAAGGTATCGAAAACAGCGAAAATGCCTCAAGCTTCTTGAACGCATCGATTGCATTCTATAACTCACGTTGACTAATTCTAAGTAAAATTTGGCACGTACGATAGTATTTATTTTAATACTTGAGTAGTATCATTTGTTTCCCTGTAAGAGATAATAAGATTGAATATTTGTAGGAGCTTTCTAAGATTCAGTCAGTAACTAGTCAACACTAATTTAGCAATTCAGAGTTAAAGACACTTTCAGTCAATACTTGGTTTAGTCTTTTGACGGTAGATAGGGACGAGTAAATGACCGGCGCCCGGCTCTCTGTCCTTAAAGACCTTCCTCTTCGGGTGAAATCGTCCGTCTACTTTTTCTACGATAGATTAATGCCATAAGCGGGGAAGCTTTGAAAGACGAAAGATCAGGCCGATTACCCACAGTGAACAGGGCGCAGTGTTAGGGACGAGAGCGGTTTGCCGTGCAATTATTAATTCCAGGAAATCGATAAGCTCAAAGAGCTCCTCCCGAAGCCGCGCTTGTAATTATTGCCGGCAGAGTAGTAGGAAGAAGAAGAGAAGAGCAAGAAGCAGGAGGCAGCCCTCAAAGCACAATGCCACCCTCTAATCACGCATCGACTTATCGACAAGGAGAAGACGCCGGCTCATGTTTTACCTATACCTTGGGACGTCAACAGTTCTTCCAAGTCTGTTTAATACTAGCTAACCGCTTGGCGGGAAGCACTTTCATTCCCGCTTCTCACCTAGCTTAAACGCCTCTTTAAAGTTAATTTACGCTTGCGTTGTATACGTATTTTTCACTGTTAATATAAATGTTATTATAATCATATTAACATATTATATAGTTACCTGATCATTTTATTAAAACAGCTGTTTAAACGGACTGAACGTAACAAGCAAGAACTATCCCATATACTTATACATTATAATGCATTGGATTTGCATATATAATGTTATATTGAAATGAATATATTTTTGTGTATAAAAATAGCGGAGAATGTGGGAAAAGTCTATACGAAGTGAAGTTTCATTAGACGGTATTAAAGGTTTCCGTCTCAAAGTCACGAGCAACGTTTTACGTTCAGCTTATAATTAACAATTAGAGCATTTCTTACATTTATGCATATTCATGAACGCACGGCGTTAAGCGGTGCTACATTCACTAATGTGACTCCGTGGAAATTTACAGCACATTGTAAGCATATAAAAAATGTACACGTTAAACGCTAATGCATTTGCATATAAAAGGCTTTATTCAATGTTTACGTCTACTGTAAGTTGCTATTATTGACTTTCATCCTACGTAAATATCCGATAACTGATGTATAAACGATGTTGAAGACATAATTAATATTCTTCAGAGAAAATTTCAAAGGTAGATTACTTGTCCACAAAATCAGGTTTCGCATCGTCTTCAGTAAAACTAGTATTAATAATAATTATATTGTATAGTTATGGTACGTTTTATGAAGCAATTAGTATTCGTTGTTGACGATGGCAAACGTTAATTAACGGATCGATTACTGTATCTCGTTAAAAATGTCTAAAGGTAAATCTCTGGTTTATTATCCGGAACGTTTAGCTTTTTACGAATCTAGCCAACGGACCCTTCGATGGCTCCGAGCCAAGCTGTTACCGCGCGATTAATGTGTATTTATGTGTATTTTCTAAGGATCCTGGAATCTCGTAACGTCAACTTATTTTCTTCCCCAAGACGCGACTTTTTTTCTCGGACACTTCCATAACGAATGTCTTTGCAATTATAATCTTCTATCTTTATAACTTTACTCAATCGAATTAAGAGAACGTTTGCATAATATTAATAAAACAAATGTTGGTTAGTCGTTCAGAATTCTTTATTTATTCTCCTAATACTTACACACTGTAACCTAATGTATTATATTCTATTTTTTCTTATTCATACGTATTAATTCTAAAAATCTAACGGGAAGATAAATAATTATTGTCTAGCGTGCTATCCATTACAAATTATTTTTATGCAAGGCGTATCCTTGTGTAGGGCACGTTGCAAGTAATCAAAAGAATTGCAATGAATTTCTACGACTGCAATTACAGCTAATTAATGACTTGTGGGAATGGCTGTTGCATAAATCATGCGTGTTACTGCTGTCGCTGACGGGATGAATCATTCCGTAATATTTATTTTCATTCCAAGGATGTACAGTAATCGACGAAGGAAATGGAGTTTTATCATTTTTAAGAAAGTATCAGAATGTTTTCAAATCATATACATGTATACATATTAATTAGTTTTAAGAAGCCTGGTTCTTTTTGTAATGTTAATAAATATTTGACTTTCGCGTGACATGATTTCCATGACAATGTGTTCGTTCATAGGTGACTGTTCACTGTGTCGTAATATTTTTAGTAGAAATGAACAATGAGTCCAGCGAAATAAAGATCAAAGTTTTCTTTCGGACAAGAGAAAAAAAAAGTGGAACGATAATAATTGCTGGCTGGCAAATACTGTGAGGGTCGAGAGGGATCGTAAAAGGAATCGCAAGAATGTTACGATACCGGAAGCCGTGAGTGATAGCAAGTACGATATCGGTCGCGGTACGACCTCTAGAAACGAGTGGCTGACCACGGTGGGCCCCGTTCTTCGTGGCTGTGGCACGGTGTGCCCTATAAGAAGTGATCGTTACTGCACGCCGCCCTATAATCTACACGGGCTAATGACGTCCATTACGTTACTGCGCGCCTCGGACCGCTCGCGTCGTCCGCTCTCTTGGCTCATGGTCCCAATGCGCGACTTGTGGTGTGCCAAGCCATGTCCCGCCGGTACCACGCCGAAGAACACACAGAATACTGGCGGGAGGACTTCGCACTGCAAGTTCTCAGGCCGCAATGACACGGGTCACGTGATTTCATCGACAATTTCAATTTTTCGCCGGCACTCTCTACGCGACTTCGCCATGCATTTGAAACCTTTCGATTGCTTAATTTCACATTTCAATTCGGCCTTCAATGCGTTCGTTCTTTCGTTCGAGTGGAACATTTTAAAAGCCTTTTCACACATCCCCTAGTTTCCGGTATGTACGACAGAACAGGTTAGTGTATGAAATTGTGCTTGTTCACACGTCTCGGTAGCCGGAAATGTTCACTTCCACGTGTCCTGTTATGTTAAAGTTCTCATAAGACTCGTTTGCATCAGTATATCTCCGAATTAC